GACAGCTAGTTACAGCTATGTGACTTGCCCACCGACCCCCAACACCTCCCCAGATATGCCACAGGGACCATCCCTCAGTACAGCATGACTCCACTGAGCTAGTCCCTGCTTGCTCTACACTCACCAATTAGAACTCCATGAGGTAAACCTGCGTGGGTAACAGCCTGGACACCAGTAAAGGCTCTGGCCTGTGAGTCCCTCACTCTCTCTTTCTTGCTCCGCACCAGCTAGTTGCACGTGCATTTCTCAGACAGCTCCCAGCTTCCTGTTGGCCCTTGGAGGCATGCCCACCCCTTCTCGCTAGGATCTGTCAGTGACACACTGCTTCTGTTATTTCATGTGTTTTACTGTGTTGCCTTCTCTGTGTCTCCCTTGACTGACACACCTGAACCTAACTCTCCTCCTAGCCAGGGCTGTCCTACACAACTCTCCTGACATCTTGGTAGAAATAAACTGTACACAGCTCAGTTAAGAGCCACAGGGGTGTCTGCCATTATGAACAAATTTCCTTTGACAGGGGCATTTGGTCACGGGTGAGGCACTTCAGCATTAGGTTGTCCACAAAGATGAAGAACTATTCTATGAAAGGCACACTGTGTACATCCATGACCACCATGCTGGAGCCCCACTGACACAGGGCTAGAGTTTATAGCAACTCTCAAGAGAGACCTCAAGACCAAAGTAGAGAAAAATACAATGCATAGAGATTCCAGTAGTCAGTATATGGTTTAAATTACCCAGCACAACCTGATGTTCTGGGTCTCAGGGTAATTGTTTTCTGCTTCTAGAAGACCGTACCTCAAATTTGCATACCTACTAAACTATTCAGTCCTTAAAATCCATATTACTGGCCAGGTGCAGTGGCTCACGCCTATAATCCCAGCACTTTGGGAAGCCGAGAGGGGCGGATCACGAGGTAAGGAGTTTGAGACCATCCTGATCAACATGGTGAAACCCTGTCTCTACTAAAAATACAAAAATTAGCTGGGTGTGGTGGTGCATGTCTGTAATCCCAGCTACTCGGGAGGCAGAAGAATCGCTTGAACCTGGGAGGCAGAGGTTGCAGTGAGCCGAGACCACACCACTGCACTCCAGCCTGGGTGGCAGAGCGAGACTCCGTCTCAAAAAAAAAAAAAAAAAATCCATATTATTGTTGCAGGCTCTGTAAATCCTTCCCTGACCACATCAAGCCCAAACAGAATAAATCATTTTTTTCTTTTTAAACACATTTTTAGTATTGTATTTATTATTGAGTATTATTTTATATGATTATCTAACTATCCTCTCCTCCCCCAACTTGAGAAGAAACTCTTAAGAAAAAGATTCTATCTCATTTATATATCTCATTTTTCTATCTTATACCCAAGGAATAGCAGGCATATGACTCAATTTGTTGAACTCCAGTAATATTTTGATATATTTATTACTTCAATTAAATGATGACAACTCAGGCGGCATGCTTAAAATATGACTGAGTGACATTTTAATAATAACTTAAAAGGAACACTTGGATAGTTTATATACATAGTTATCAAAAATATAAAGTATATTGACATGTGTATCCATCAATCTAGACTTGCATGATAGAATATACCAAGTGATATGAGTACTATCGCCCTGCTTCCTCTCTACCAATCTCTCTATTTCTTTTCCCCTACTCAGTTAAACTTTTAGAAAAAGTCATGTACATTTACCCTCCCTTTTTCCTGACTTCTCATTTCCTCCTCAAGCCTACAGAAACACACCATTTCCACCCACTTATATGTTGAAAATGCTATGGTAAATGCCACCAATGGCCGCTATGTGACCAAAACCAAAGCACACCTTTCATCCCTTATTTCTTGATTTTCTGCTGCATTTAACACTGTTGGGCATTCCCCTTGAATCCCTGTACTACCTTGGCTTCTGGTTCTTATGATTCTTTAACTATTACTTCTTGACTGAGTTGGCCTCATAATTTACCTGTTCCTTAAGCATTGCTTTTACCTTGGGTTCACTCTTATTTTTTTTTTTCTATGTAACCTTTAGTGATGTCATCTATTTCCCCAGTTAACTGAGTGCTAAAGGTTCACAGAGCCAACCTCTTGTTAGATATATATGCTTGGATAGCTTACAGGTATTAAAAAATCACTATATGAAAATCTGAACTCACCACTGTCCATCTGATACGGTTTGGGTGTGTTCCCAACCGAAATCTCATTTTGAATTCCCATGTATCGGGGGAGGGACCCAGTGGGAGGTAACTGAATCATGGGGGCAGGTCTTTCCCATGCTGTTCTCATGACAGTGAAAAGTTTCATGAGATCTGATGGCAATATAAGGGGAAGTTTCCCCGCACAAGCTCTTCTCTTCTCTGTTGCCAGGTGAGATGTGCCTTTCACCTTCCAGCATGATTGTGAGACCTCCCCAGCCACGTGGAACTGTAAGTCCAATAAACTTTCTTTTGTAAAATGCCCAGTCTTGGGTACGTCTTTATCAGCAGCATGAAAACAGACTAATACACCATCTATGCCTAGTTTTGGTTTACAATTTTAATTCAACTTCTTGGTAGCGGCTCTTAGTCACCCAAGTCATTAATATGGTAATCCCCCTAAACTCTTTCCTTACAATCCATATTCAATTGGCAATCAAGCATTGGCCATTTTACTTCTCACTTAGCTGTTGAAATGTCTCCTTCCCATAACCTCTATTACTCCTTCCTCTAAGTTAAGACCTTATTATCTCCCCCTGACCTATTGCAATAGTTTGTTAATTGATTTACTTATCTCTAGTTTTGCCCACTTCACATTCACAGTCCCTTTTCCCTACTTCTCCCAAAGCAATTAATACATATTATCTATATACATACATCTACTGATAAAGCAAATCTGCTTATGCCATTCTCCTAATTAAAACCCATTAATGCAATCCTCATAAATAACTGCACTGTTTATTAAATTTTGTATTTTGACACAGTTACCATATAGAGAAATCTAAGTTCTGTCCTAAAATACTAACCTGGGAGGCACTCCTAGATTTTCTACTATCTTTTATTTTTTAAAAAATATTAAAAGAGGTCTGGTCACTAGCCTCTATTGATTTTCAGACCCACTGAAAATCATAAATTACAAATTTTAAAATACTGATCTATAAACTAAAGCCTGTCCTCAATTATCCCCTTCCAATTTATTTTTGTCCTTTCCATGTTAACCTAAAAAGGGATTTATGTGGCTACGGAGAGTTCCATTCACAAACATTACTCTCCACAGAGAATCAGCTATCATAAGGAATGAAAGCAAACTTTAAATTCTTCAAGTCACCGACAGAGAGGTTCATTATTTTAAACAGAAAAGAATTGAGTGAGCAAAGAGATTGCCAAAAAGCAGGATCCAAAGAATCTACAGTTGCTTCCTCTTGGCCACTAAACTCAAAGAGCCACAGGGAAGTTTCCACTAGCTGCAATTAAAGTGACAACAGATTCCCACAGCTGTAAGTCTGTGGAAAGTGAAAACAAAATAAGAGAAAAATTATCTAACGTCTTGTTTTGGAGGATGGCAAATGCTAGTTCATATTCAATAATGTCTAATTTAAAATGAACTTTGGAATAGGTGAGACCAATTAAAATGAAACCTCGATGTGTGGAATATAAAGAGATTTTAAAATCAACATTAATTCCTCAAAGAACTTCAATTCTAAAATAACTGAAATGTTTTCTAATTCCTAGAATATAAGATGAAAACTGGGGATGTAAGTTTTCTATGAATTATCCAAAAAGTTCCATCATACAAAAATGGCTTTATATACAGTCAGAATATCTATAGAAAAAAGAAAAATGACAACATCATTTAAAGTACTTCTTTTAAGTTTGTACTTTTTAAAATGTAATTATCAATCATTTTTACTATTGCTAATTCAAAACTGTTTTTATTCCTTGGAAAATACTGATTAAATGTAGAAGATGATATTCAAGTATACTTATTGAGGTAAAACCTATAACACCTATTAAACCTCCTGAAATTTACCACATTTCATATCCTAAAACACAAATAATTTTAAATGATATGTCACTGTATGTAATATACAAAATATAAGCATTTCAATGACCAAATTAAGGGTAAAGCAGGGAGTAGAGAAAAAATCAAATCAGTCAACTCTGAGTTTCAAATGTGAATGAGACTCTTTTGGTTGGTCATTTAATCCAACACTTAAGAATTCAATAATAAAAATGAAACTAGATGGACAATCCACTTTTGTTTTTGTTTTTGGTTTTGAGACAGGGTCTCACTCTGTCGCCCAGGCTGGAGTGCAGTGGCACGATCTCAGCTTACTTCAATCTCCGCCTCGCAGGTTCAGATGATTCTCCTGCCTCAGCCTCCCAAGTAGCTGAGATTATAGACGGCCACCACGGCGCCCAGCTAATTTTTGTGTTTTTAGTACAGACGGGGTTTCACCATGTTGGCCAGGCTGGTCCCAAACTCCATACCTCAGGTGATCTACCCGCCTTGGCCTCCCAAAGTGCTGGGATTACAGGCATGAGCCACTGCGCCCAGCTGACAATCCACTTTTAAAAATTGTCAGTTACCTTTAAATAATATATCTTGAAGGTTAGATAATGGACTACCTATGCATTTCCCTTAAACACACTAGCCCCCACTTGGCAGCCTGTCTGTACCTTGCCTCCCTACTTCCCTGAGGTATTATGTTCCACCTCATACGCATTCCAAATCTAAAACAATCAAACAAACAAACAAGAAAAGAACTGCTGTCACTTTAGAGCCCTAAGAAAACAGTCCCCTTCCTCCAACTAGTTTAATCCTTTCAATATGGTATTAGAAACATCACTTAACAAAAATATTAAATCCAGAGCTCAGCTAATTGTATCTAATTCAACAGTAGCCTTTTTATTACATATACAAAAGCAGCCACAGTATCTACTCTCAACATGCAATATGAATAAATCTGTAACCATGATCTGCGTAAGAGACGACATTTTCAGTCAATAAAACCAATGCCATACTCACGGTGAAGGCTGGTGGGGCTGGTTTTCAGCATTTCTTGGTGTTTTGCAGGCAGCAGGCTTCGCCATGTCCCTGACAACACACCTGGGGCGCATGATAGACAGCACAACGCACTATTAATTATAAAAAGGGTAGAACATATCTAGAAATTAAACACGGTACTGAAAAACAATCTAAGGGAAAGTCTTTGCAAGCCCCTTCAATATTAACCTTGGGGCCCCAGCAAAGTCTTTGGAGTTGGAAATCTTTGACTCAGGCTTCCAAAAGCTCAATTATACCCAAATAAAATCTGTGCTAGCCTCTGTATTTGACTTTCCTTTTAGCATCAATAACATGATTGTCAGCAGCTTTTCCCATAGCAGAAAAGCTACTGAAAGCTTTGGCATGACCACATGCCAAAGACGTCTGAAAGCTTAAAAATAGGAACAGCTGTTGCGTTGATATGTTACATTTTGAGCAGGATATTCTGTGGCTTTTGCTATTTTACTAAAAAATACGGACTTTTGTTTCACACCATCAATCACCACACAGGTCTTTGTTTGTGCAAAAAGATCTGAGAGGCTTCAAGGCATCCCCCTTGTTCAAAATTTCCTCATGCTAAGAGGGAGGAAGAGATCAAAGACAAGGTTCATATATAAAGTGTGTGTGTGTGTGTGTGTGCGCGCACGCGCATGTAAAATAAGAAAGGATACTCCAAAATGTGAAAAAATTAAATGTCTTTGTGTCATAAGTCATCCATCACAAAATAAATGTAGATGGTAGACAATATAACAAAGCTCCAAAGGGCAGCAGGAAGAGATATTCCTACTTTCACGTAAACAGGGCTTACAGAGCACTGGTGACATTTATTGGCAGAAATCAGAAAACACCTCCCTCTGAGGATGAACATGGATGGCTCAGATATTCCTTCTCCTCAAAAGCTTTAAAATAAACATAGCTTTGAATAGAGAAGGCTTGGTTATAAAACTTAGACCTCACATCTTAGTCTTTGCTAAATGGAATGCCCCTTAGGATCCAGAAGGCTTCAAATATGAATCTGGTTCTTAAGAGCTTTCATGGAGGCTTCTTGGAGATTTGACTACCCTGCTCATATTTAAGGCCAGTCATGTTATTCCAGAAGTGGATCGCTGGTGAAGCAGTGGTAGATAAACTCTTTTCCCAGAGCTTAAAGCTGCATGGCAAATTTCTCCACTTCTGAAAGAAATGATACAGGAAAACATGGACACAACGCACAGAAACGTGCACACACACACTGCTCATTCCAAACAAGGTCAGTAAGACTTCCAAATCAATATGTAACGTGACAAGAAAAGAAAACGGTGCCATTTCAAAGCCTCAACACACCTTCCCTTTGGGATAAAAATTTTAAAAAGTGGTGTTCATCAAGAGTTGATGCTAACCTTTTAAGGAATTGGTCAAGAGATGTGAGTCAATGACATCCACAGGAACCACAAAGCCTTGTGTTCTTTCCCCAGTGTCATGGAAGAAGGCCAATCATGCATCAGCCTTTAAAACATTCAGGAAGGCAGTTGCTAGGGAAGTGTAATGTCCTAGGATTTCTGAGCTCTGAAATTTTAATCAAACTTACACAAGCTAAAAAGTCCAGCAAGTTAAACTTCATAGCATTAGAAAATCTTTAGCAATTCTCACATATGCCCCCCCCTTTTTTTTTTTTTTTTTTTTTGGAGACTAAATCTCCCTCTGTCGCCTAGGCTGGAGTGCAGTGGTGTGATCTCCTCTCACTGCAAGCTCCGCCTCCTGGGTTCATGCCATTCTCCTGCCTCAGCCTCCTCAGTAGCTGGGACTACAGGCGCCCACCACCACGCCTGGTTAATTTTTTGTATTTTTAGTAGAGATGGTGTTTCACCGTGTTAGCTAGGATGTCTCGGTCTCCTGACCTCGTGATCCACCTGCCTCGGCCTCCCAAAGTGCTGAGATTACAGGCGTGAGTCACCGCGCCTGGCCGCAGCATTTTTAATCTACACGCACTGATTTGTGAAAATATCTGAAATATCACCAACTTGGAAAAATGCTAAAGAATTAAATCTATGAGAAACCTTAATTCATCTCTTTTTTACCCCTCATGTCATAGGTATTCATACAAAGCTTTCAAAGAAAACAAATCTACTACTTAATATTTTTTAAAAATATGTGCTGAAGTAACTATTTTCTAACAAATATAAGGTATTAAGCAACACTAAAGGTAGGTTTGTAAGCAAACTTTTTTTTTTCTGACTAAAAGGCCCTATCTGCTGGGCGTGGTGGCTCACGCCTGTAATACATCACTTTGGAAAGCCAAGGCCAGTGGATCAGTTGAGGTCAGGAGCTTGAGACCAGGCTGGCCAACATGGTGAAACCCCATCTTTACTAAAAAAATACAAAATTTAGCTAGGTGTGTGGTGCATGCCTGCAGTCCCAGCTACTCAGAAGGCTGTGGCAGGAGAACTGCTTGAACCCGGGAGGCAGAGGTTGCAATGAGCTGAGATCGTGCAACTGCACTCCAGCCTGGGCTACACAGCGAGACTCCATCTCAAACAAAAAAATAAAATAAAATAACAATTTAAAAAGGGCCCTATCTTTGTAAGAAAATTCTTGTCTAATTTCAAGTCCCAGTGGTTTTGGTTTAAAATTACAAGTTGATGTACTGTTTCTGTCTATGTATGTTATAGAATCTTTCTGATAAAAATTTCATTCAATTTTTTGAACTTTAAAGTTTTATTGAATAATAAAAATAAACACATTAGTATTCAAAAGCAACATATTTAGAATTATTTTGAATAAAACAGGAAAACAACACATTTTCCATAATAGGATATATCCTGGCCACAGGACAAATATTCAAGACTAGAGCAAAGCAGCTAGCTGCTGAATCTGCGTTTTAAAGGGAGGAAACTAATTGTTTCAGGTTGCTAATTATTTACCCAATTTCGGGGGGGTTCTAAATCATAGCAATAGATATTCCTGCATTTTCTAATTTGACTTTTTTTTAGCTAAAATTTTTTCTAGATATAAGAAAGAAAAGGAAGAAAGTTCCCTACACTCAGAGTAAGACACATCAAAAGTATACTCACAAGATTTTTGCTTGTGTAGGTTACCATTTCTTTAAAATTATAATTAAATTGCATCAGTTTGGAGGGATAAAACCTTAACACTTTTGACAGTTTTAACGTATGGAAACTGTGTAACCTCAGCAATTTCCACTATCTCCTATGCATTAGACTTGGTATAATAATATAAACCCCCCATACTTGAAGAAACACAACAATGATATTTCAGTATGTTGCAGCTTTTAAGGTGTTTGTCTCTGTGTGTAATTTACTCCTTCAGCCAGACATAAGGAGACCACAAACGCTGCCACAACGCTGACTTCCCAGAATTACCATGGATTGAGGGACTAGGAATTCAAAGGGTTTGACCTCTTATCCTTTGCAAAGTCTTTAATTACTCAGTTTTATCAGATTGGGGCTCTTCCACAGTCTTCTAACTGAATGTGAGCATTCCCTCATCACTGAAGCATCACTGAAGATTTATGCAAATAAGACATTCTGCAACCGCCTCAGGGGAATGCTCCTCCTGACTCCACCCTCAGCACTGCTGGGTTTTATGAATGGCTGCAATCAATGCGATGAATGGTTGCCAACTGCCCACTCAGCCACTTCCACTCTTCAGTGCACGTACACACGGGAGAGACTAACATTGCCACAAGCCTGCAGATGAAGCTATGGCAAGGCTTTCATCTCTCCAAACAGGAACTAAATGTGCTTTCAGATACTTAGAGTATGTGAATTAAAAATTCTAAATGCCTTCAAGAAACACAATTTACATAATTACCTTCTCTCTTTTGACTTTCCATTTTGGTGCCTGCAATCACTACCCTCTACCTTCCCTCCCAAAAAAAACCACTATTTTATGTTAAACTTTATCTGAATTTGAACTTTAAATGGTTTTATCTTTCATGACTAATGTCAGGAAACTAGTTACTGTGCAGGAAGCAGCCAAATAGTAGACTATAGCACGTTTACATTTCTGTTCTCAATGTTATGGTTTTTGAATTTTCCTATAATAAATGGAGACAATTATCTCCAAACAGTGTTGGAGAAATACATGTGTTTGTGTCTACTTCCCAAGTGTTATTGTAGTAGTCCACATTGGTCCTAAGAGACCTTAGGAGCAGTTAAGATAATGTAAGATTGACAAAATGAAATGTTTTTTAAACATACAATTTTCTGATTTGCTGATCACTGATTAAAAGTACCTAGAAACAGACAAGAAGAGACTTCAGGGACTCTGTAGCTGGCCACCTTTCCTTCTACACTCCATATTCAGTGCTTCATGCCATTCATCAACATGACATTAACCATAAAGTACCCCCAATCCATGCAAAATTCCTATTTCCTGCCTGAGTCTCTCTTCTTAGCTCCAGTCAGACATCTAACTGCCTCCTGACATTTTTACTTGGGTATTTAATAGACCTCTCAAAATCAGCATTTCCAAAATGGAACTTTTCATCTTTTTTTCCCCCAAACTTGATCCACCAGCAGCCATCTCCACCTTGGCTGTTCATAACTACATTTCTCCAGCTGTTCAGGTGAAAAACTTTAGACTTAACTCCTTGTTTTCTCTCACATCCTGTGTCCTATCTACCAGACTGGATGTATTTTCTAAATTTGTGCAGAATTTGACCACTTACCAACCCCTCCACTATTGCCACCCTGTCCTGAGCCAATATTGTCTTTCATTTGAATTCTCACCATAGATTTTTAACGGGTCACCCAGCATTTACTATTGTTCTCCTCCTGGAGTCTATTCTCAACACAACAGCCAAAGTGACTCTTTTGAAATATAAATCAGGTCCTGCCATCTCTACCCAATAGTTCCCTACTTTACTCACAAGGAAGTGCCTGAGTCCTTAGGATAGCATCAGAACTCCCAGCACTACTCCCTGCATCTACCTTTCCTGCCTTGAGATTTCTGCACCAACCTTTCCTTCTGTCTGGATAGCTCTTCCCAATACTGGTATGACTAAACCCCTTACTTCTTTAAAGTCTTTGCTCAATTGTCAAGTTTTTGATGGTTCCTACTCT